ATCTCTGACGCTGAGAAGAATTTCAGTCAGGTCTAGTCAAGTACATTGGATGACATCCAGCATCTATGAACAGTCATGAATTGGCTCCTACAGGTTGTTGTCTGGCAGCAGGGTTGTTGAATTGACTGCCATGGATTTATTGAATGTTAATATGTCCTCATCTAGGAGGAAATCCTGTTATTAAGTGAGGCGGGCATTTGACATCCAATGATTTGTGGCATCCCTCAATAGATCTTCCACTGTGTGTGCAACAGTCACAGTAAGAGTCTGCCCCAGAGTTAGTTTGTCTGTGTCCTTCATCAGGAGTGCAGTAGCCACTATGGCTCTTAAACAAGGAGGCCACCCCGATGCTACTAGATCAAGCCTTTTTGAAATGTAGGCAATTGATCTTTTCTATAGCCCTAGATTTTGGATAAGCACTCCCTTTGCAATACCTTTTTTCTCATGAACATACAGATGGAAGGGCTTAGAGATATCAGGGAAGCTCAGGGCAGGAGCCTACCAGAGCCTTTTTTAGATTTTTAAAGGGTAATTCATTTTCTACAGTCCAAGCTAAAGGTCAGTTGCCTCCCACAGTTGCAATATATAGAGGCTTGTCAATATCAGCAAATCCAGGTATCCAAAGGTGGCAGTACCTGACTGCCCCTAGGAATTTCCAAACCTGCTTTTTAGAGTTGGGATTGGGATCTTCATTATGGCCTCTATGTGGGCTTGGGATAGCAGCTTTTTCCCTTCCATCATTTCATATCCTAAATAAGTAACCAGAGGAGAACAGATTTGTGCTTTGTTTTTGGACTCAATACCCCAACTGAGCCAAGGTCCTCATTATGCCCCAGGTGGCCTTTCAACAGTCCCTTTCATCCCTTGCTGCTAGCAAAAGATCATACACATATTGAAACAAGGTTATCTTGGGGTACTCACTGCAGAAAAGGCTTAAATCTTTGTTAAGTTCTTCATCGAAGATGGTGGGGGAGCTCTTAAATCCCTGAGGTAGTGGAGTCCAGGTTGGTTGTCCCAATATTCCCTGCTCCAGGTCAGTCCATTCAAATGCAAAGATGGGATGACTCAGTTTTGACAAAGGAATGGAGAAAAATGCATCTTTCAAATCTAATACCGTGTAGATCCTATGTTCTGATGCCAACAGACTGAGCAAGGTATAAGGGTTTGGGACAGTTGGGTATATAGTTTCTACCCATTTGTTCACTTCCCTTAAGTTCTGTACTGGTCTCTAATCATGAGTCCCAGGCCTTTGGACAGGCAACAAAGGGGTGTTCCAAGGTGACTGATATCTAATTAGTATTTCCTCTTCTAGGAGACCTCTAATATGGGTTTTGATTCTTTCTCTGGCTTCAGAGCTGATGGGGTATTGTCTAACCTGAGTTGGCATAGCTCCAGATGTTAGTTGTATTACAACCTAAGAGGGTTATCCTTAGCCCAAACTGTAAGAATCTCTTGGATTAATAGTTTTTTTTTTCCATTTTCCTTCTAAGCTTGGATAAGATTTTGAGAGAGCAGATATTCCTCCCTTAATGGGCATGATATAGTTAAGGCTCTTGTAGGACTCCCCAATTGTAGGGAATTCATATCCCCTGAAAATGATATAGTTTCCTAAAGTTTGCTTAGAAGTTTCCATCCCAG